ACTGAGGCTGCTGTTGTCTTCTTCTCTGATCAAAACAGTGTTGTTTTTTCCTCTGATCAAAACAGTGTGTCCCCCTAGCGGATATTCCACGAATTGCACCTCATTAAAAATATTAATTCCGTGTCTTTTGTGCATTTTTTCACCCAAATAAACCACCCATTATGCACACTACCAAAACGTGCAAGCCAACTTTATTCATTGTTTCAAGATGCTTTGTTGATCAGGGCAACTCCGCTGGAATAGTTGAGACGCAAGTCTCATCTGGATGCATGTGGGGTGCTCTCTGCTGGTCCCGACGGGGCCGGAGGCTGAAGAACCTGCAAAACCCAAAGGATCGCGTTGAAGTCAAACTTCGTTTCGGATTGGGGAGGAAACATCGGATAACTTTTCACCTTCAAAGTATTCACTGTATATCGGTCAACATGTCAGAAACATTTCGGTCTCAAGCTCTAGCAGAGGGCCCGCCGTTGGCAAGGGGAAACAATAAACCCGATTTCACTTTCCAATGTCAGCTAACAGTCGTAAGAATCATTGTAAAATTCGACCGCAAACTCGCAAGAGGCTCGCGCCCGTCGTTGACGGTGTTGACAAGGTCTTTACGAAACGTAAGGGCGCCGTCTACTGGTGACCAATAGGAATGACAAACCTTCGAATGAAGTGGCTCTCAACTTTACAAGTACAGTTCCACCGAAAAAATACAACTCTTTGGGTACTCTTTATCAGGTGCTGTCTCACCATGTTGGTCTTTGTCGTTGTGTTGATGATCCTCTGGACGAGTTGAAACTGGGAAAGTCAATTCCTTAGTCTGTCTGTGGCTGCGCAGACTCGACGGAGCATGTGCTCAGCGTGCACTCCGTGCAGGTGTACCTCTCTGAGCACGGCAGCTGAGCCACTGCCATACCTCGCTTCAGACACGTGAAAAAGAGAGAGCGACATAGAGAGGGAGGGGGGGAGAGAGAGAGAGAGCGCGAGAGAGAGAGAAGGAAAATGACAGCCGGCTCTCGGGGGAGGGTGCCGGCTCTCATCGTTCACTTCAAAGAGCCGGCTCTTTGTACCGGCTTGTTCGCGACCGACACATCACTAACACGGAGACGGAGAAGGATGTGCCTGTATGAGCTGATATTGTGAAAAACATGAATAAACTCTACGTTCTAAAAACCACAGCTCTCCTTTTTCGGAGCTGCAACACTTGGCTTGAAGCGAAGTCACGGGGGGAGACCGTCGTGACATTGGTTGTGAGGCCGGCGGCTCTCCGCGGCGCGGCTCCCCTTTCCCGGTGCCCATGTTTTGGCTTCGCGTCGCCTCACTAACTCAAATATATATTCGTTGAATTTAAGTATGCTGTTGTTTTATACACGGGGGGCGGGGGGACCACAAATGATTATCTTCTTCTTTCTCCATGTTGAGAATGAAGTGCAGGATCTCTCTCTTCTCGCCAGCCCCTGACGAATATCTCTTATCACGATCGGTGTAACTTAGAGCGGTATAAAAAGAGCAGCACAAAGCTGGGGTCAGACTTTTTGGGAGAAGGAGACGACAATGGAGAAAACAGTCAAGTTTACCCTCTCCATATGGTTGATCTTCACGGCCATAAGCTCCACTGAGGTAAGAGCACTTGGCTGACCTTTTATCAAAACACGCGCATGATTGTTATGTGTGGTCACTAATATAATTTAGACAAACAAAAAAATTGTCGCAAAGTGGGCAAACAGGTCAAGATGGTACATAATTTTCTGCCGTCTAATGCAACAATATGGAATTGTATTGCCTGTCACTTTGCTAGACTGATAAAGATATACTTTTTTTTTGTTGAGAAAAAAAACCTATGGAACAATAAAGTGAAATGTAATAATTTCCTGGGCTAGGAAAGATGATCTCATTCACACCAATGTTTCACGGAACATTGGTTCAGAATCATGCATAATTTCGGGATGACAAAGAGCACGTAGTAATTGCATCAAATCTCACGAATGACATTGCAGTTTTTAGTAGCTCCTCTTAGGCCCGCCACTCACCGAGTGACAAAACCGAACAAGTCGCTTTCACGAGTGACCAACCGGTAGGCCACAATAGCTACGCTGCAATTCAAAATTGTAATCGCCAACAAACGGCATTCCAACATGGCAGATGTATTAGCAGTGGCTCGAAAGCAAAGCGTGGAGAGTCTCTGTCATTCAGGATAGAAGTATGTGACAGCATAGATTTAAATCATAAGATTTTTTTTTTACATTTAAAGAAAAAAAATACTTTTGAGATTCATGCGTTTATTTGGACTGCAACCAAATGAAGAATGTAAAATTCAGTCATGTGAGCAATTAGTCCCAATTTTCTTTTTTTTTTTCAGTCCCATTGCAGGTCTCTGTATTTCAAGTCATACTTAAGTACTGTAATTTTATTCTAGACAAATAAAATAGCAAATCAGGAAATACATGACATCGAGTTCATGTCTGTGTGCGTTTTTTTTTTTTTTTTTCTCCGCCATGCAATATGCAAAAGTATGGTTAATGTGTTCATGCCTCACGTCACCGGCTGGAACAGCAGGTGCTTAACCTTTTGCATGATGTGAGCGTGAATGATTTGCCTCTGGAACAGCAACTCACTATTATTCCGCCACATTTTATCTGACGGCTTCACACGAACGGGAAATGGTCGAACGTCAAGTGACACGGATAGAACAAAGGGAGGAAACTCTCAATCGCCAGCGGGTATCATCAAGCGCCCATTTAAAAAAAATTTCCATCAGTTTGCAGCTGCGTTGCTTTCAACAATGGTTTGGTTGATTCTGAATTTTTATGAATACGAACCGGGGCTCAACCGATTAATCGTATGATCGATTACATTGGTCCATATTAGCCCTTTTCAAAAATAATATTAAATTGACCCGGGTTGTACAGATTAATAAATTGAGATGAAAATGATTCTTTTGCAGGGGCAAGCAGCGACTGCGTGTACCTCATGTACAAGCGACAAAAGCCCGACGCAGAAGAGCCAAGGCCCAAGTTCCTCGCGGCCGACAGCGACCACGCCGATGCCGCTCAGCTCCTCGACATCAAGCGCAGCCTCACCCTCACCGTTATCCACCGTCGCAGTATCAGCCATCGCCACCGCGTCAAGGCGGCCCACGGCATCCTCCGAAACCGACTCGAGCCCAACTCCGGCAGCATCCCCCAGTGGGATCTCCTCTATCAGACCTTCAGACACAACATTAAAAGCAGGGACTACTTCTTTGTTTGGCGTATGTAGTCCAATGCTGGTGTGTGTCATCTCTTTTCTAATCTGCAACGCGTAGACTGTGAGACACGCTTAACAAACGTAATGACAACGTAATACTGTAAAACGCGATATTTGTGCCTTGGTGACTTTGTTTGATCACAGCAACAACATAGAAAATTTCCGTCATTCACGATGTACAAATAAGTGGTTGTGTTTAAACAAGTTGAACTCGTGTTCTCGGAACATTTTGATTGGATTTTGTTTTGTCATGTTTAGCTCGTTAGGTTTTTGTGCTCGTCAATGCCGTTCCATTATTTTAGGCTCATGTTTGATTTCGTGCTTTTAAATAAAAGTCGATCAAAAAGAAGAATGACCTTTCAGAACTCGGGTCAGCGAGCCTGCCCAGAGGCTGAGACAAATATCGAAGGAAGTGCCTCAACTACAGGTAAAGAACAGCAGGAAAACTTTATTAGAACAGCTGAACTTTATTTGGGATTAATCACAGTGGCACTTTAAATGATGAGGAAAATGACCAATTAGTTTAACACAGCCAATCCCCGATTATTAGACAATGTGAAACGTTATCACTGGATGTCAGTTGTTTATTTTTACTTCTCTCAAAAATATTTTTTTATTTCACTTTAGTTGTGGAGCTAAAAGGCAAGGCCTCTTTTTTTATGCAGCACATTAAATACACAAGGTAACTCAATGTGCTTCACAATATTCAAATTGCAACATTTAATAATAAAGCGCAAAAGACATTTCAAAGCAAAGGGCAGATATAAAAGATAGATGAGAATTTCTAAGAACACAATCCTGGTCACATTTTTATGTCATAAAAATCGAGCATTTGAATCGGGGTGTGTAGACTTTTTTTTTTTTTACTACAGTATATGCAGAATTAGAGTCGCACGTTTTGTCTCTTCATTGAACTGAACGACAAGATTTTGTTTGCATACTTGTGGAAGCTTCTTTTGAGGGTGGGCGGGAATGAGATTTTGCATTTGTGGTCCACGACCCGGATGAAAACCGAGAACTGCTTTCCTGTAAGGAAAGTGTGGCATCTGCGGCACAATCTGAAAGACTTCCGAAAAGATAACAACTGAAATCTGGGGTCTCCACATTTTCCTTTATGGTTCAATTTGACAGTTGACCTCTGATAAGATGAGAAAGAAATGGCCGCCCCGCAAAAAGGACGACTTTGAGAGAAGACTTTAACGATCAGAAAAGAGGACCGTCCCTTCAAGAGGAAATCCTCTTGCCATATCAAGTATCTCGCCCCGAGTTTCTTTTCACTGGCTCTGCTGGAATGTTTCTTTGTGCAGGTACCGCACATCACGGTGACAGAGGAAAACATACCGAATAAGGCTTGCTACTTAAAAATAACAGTTCACCTTTTCACGCACTCATGATAACCTGTAACCTGATATGCTGTCCACTGGAGTAACCGCTGTCCCCGAAAGGGTTCACGTCTTCATCTATTACTCTAGTTCCATACATTTCCCGGGAATGTCATTGTTTCGAATGCTTTCTCTATCCACTTTGACACTTCTATTTTTTTTTTTTGGAACAACACAGACTATTCTACAACCTGTCACCCCTTTCATGAATGACACCATCATTACAACCTCGCCTTCCAATAACACCATTGCCACCGCCGACGACACCACCGTCACCATCACCTTGATTTCTGGTAGCTTGACCGCAACAACCCAACCCGTGACCACCGAGGTTGTCTCCACGGCAACGAGCGGACAACCTCGCCTCTCCGCCTCCACCGGTCTGCTCATTGCATTGCATGTGTTTCGGGCGTTTTGCCTCTGAGCTGCATATATTTATCACAACGAGGTCAGCACATTAAAAAATAAAATAAAATAAAAAATAAAAATAAATCTGAAGCTAGATATGGCTCAAGCAGTACAGTAGGACAATTGGTTCCCGCTCACATGCTTTCATGTGTCATCTGTCAACTGATAAGATGATAGGACCATTTTAAATACGATTCCCAAGGTTGTAAAACGCAACGGTGACATCATTCCTTCAGGGAAGAGGAAAAGAACCGTGAAAAAACAAACATGAAAATGTAGCCAAGTATATAAAAACGGTGCGCGTGAATCACGCCGTGATCTCTTGTCAAACACCGTCACTTGCCTTTAGTATAAACAACGGACACTCGAATTGAATTGAACATTGAATAATTCTAAAAACGTTGAAAAAAAAAAAAGATTTTTATTTAGAAGCAAAGTCCATCAGTACAAAGGTGACACTAAAAATAAAAAGATTTGGGCTACTCAATAACAAAAAAAAAAAAAAAAAAGTTGTAACTGTTATTACAAGAATAAGCTTGACAGGAATAAAATGAGCACGGTTTCGAAGATCGCTTAACACACAAACCTAAACACAACAGCCTGAAACCTGCAACTACTTCCCTTTCAACTTGAGAACCGCCAAATATTGATCTTGTAATATTTACATAATTATTGACACCACTTCTGGTTTTTGACCAAACAGAACCAACAAGTGTTTTTTTTTTCTCCCACTAGTTCATAGTTCGTTCTCGCGAAAAGACACAAACGGTAGCAGCAGAGCAACGTGTTGCCGGGGGGTGTGCAGTGCCCAGGGGGGCACCGCTAACAATAGGAGGAACCATGTTAAAAAAAAAACTTTTTTTTTTTTTTTTTTTTTTATTAAAGTGAACCTAACGAGAAAGCCAGTGTTTGATTCCCAGTTCCAACTGCTGAAGTAACTTTGAGCAAAACAAAATGGCCGCCAAGCTTGATTTAGTCTTTCGCGACTATTCATAAAGAGTCGTGTTGACTTTGACTATATTGTACATATATTTGACGATCGTTACTTTTTTCCAATCGATTTTTTTTTTGGTCTCGTTTGGTCAGCGTGGCCCAAATAACTCCCGATCCTCAATCGGGAGCACACGTGATTTACTTATTTTGCAAATGCAATGATTTAATGACCCTAAGTTGTGCACATCTGAAACGCTTTTGTCATACATTGCACAGAATGTGATTTTTTATGACAAGGAACAAATTTGAGAAATGGCACTTTTTGCGTTCTTTCCACTGACTCCCATGTTATCACAATAACGATTTTCTTTTCATTAAAAAATGGATTCGAGTTTGTCTGGGCTCACTCTTTTGGTACTTAAGGCAACGCAGTAGCAAACATGGTACAGTGCTTTTTTTTTTTTTTTTTTAAACATTAAAAATAAATAAAATTGTAACCTGATGAAAACTGGGCTTGAGGCTATCACAAACTGATACAAATCTTAAGATTGTACAGCGACATGATATTAAAACCAGTCTGTCAATTATTTTTTTTTTAAATTCTCTTTCTAAATAATCTCACAACTTCCTTTGTTGAACATGACTGTATCCCTATTGCCTTGACACGTGACATGCAGCAAGAGGAAACGGTCAGGACATTTAAATTTAACACAGCAAATAGAGGGAAGAAAAATCTATTTACATTTTGAAAGAAATCCCTACATGCAGAGGAATCAATGAATGCTTGTTTAAAAAAAAAAAAGAGACTGTATGGAGTGTTTTATTCAATATAGAACAAATGTCAAACGATATTTGATCGACACAACTTCCTGGAACCAAGGTCGGCGCATAAAAGTGAGCCATAAATGGACTCCTTCCCACCCAAAAAAGGTGGATGACGCTTTTGTATAAAAGAGAGAAGAGACATCGCCCGGTCAGTGTCAGAGAAAGCGAGCGGATGTACGGAAGAAGAAGAAATTGAACCTTCCTGTCAAGCGTTCATTTTAGGATCATCTCCATTGAACCACTTGGCGATCATCATGATGAATTTGCTTGCGGGGCTTTGCATTGTGGCACTCCTGGCGTCGGCAAAGGTATGACTTTTTTTTTTTTTTTTGGTCATATATTTTGTGTGATTACTAATTACTGAAGGTTTTTTTTTTTCGTACCAAAAAAAAAGATAAAAATCTAGAACGTGAGAGTAATAGGAATATGAAACAATGTAACGAGAGAAGTTACAAAGTCAAAATAAAATGCGGCTATATTGACTCCGCCTGTTATGTTGCAGGTCAAATTGAGCCATTTGAAAACCTAGAAAAAAAAAGTAGACATAAAATGGGGTGACATTTTTTTTCTGCTGGCCTATTTTTTTTTTTCTTTATTCCTCTCAAATTTTTGAAATTGTATTTTGGGGAGAAATGAAGATGGATGGCCCATGAACACTGTTAGTACGAAAAATAAAGCTGAACCCTGTACCGCAATGGAAGAAAGACATCACTCTCATTGGAATTTACGTCACCTGATAGCCAACTTCAGTGTGTTTTTTGCATTATGTCCCACATTGCTTATAAAAGTCTAACTTCTATTTAAAAAAAACAAAAAAACATCTGTTACGTTCCAGATTCAGTAACAAAAGGTCTTTTTTTCCTCATAACACCATTCTCTGTGTACCAGATAGTTTAGATTCAGCTATTCAAAAGTACCTAACTCAGGACCTGTAAAATTTATTTTGTTGAACTGATGTGCTTTCGTTGTTCAACAGGCTCAAGGAACAACAACAGCAACAACCCAGACCCCAACTGGAATCACCACCGATGCCCAATGGCCTACGGGCTATTCAACCTTCGCCGCCACACCTGCAACCACCAACCAAATGGTCCCCACCTCCAATGGTCTCACCACAATGATGGCCACGCCAGAACCGCTCCCTCCTTTATCTACCGCCACTCCAAACGTTTCTCCTTCAAGCGCGGTGATGACCTCCAGGGCAAAGACCACACCAGATCCCTTCACCACCCCCACGACGGCGCCGCCACCTTCTACAGTCACGACGACGACGCCTTCTACAGTCACGACGACGACGCCTGCAACCGCCACGGCCATCCAAACAACCACCGAGTGCAACAGAGGAAGCGGAGGAGCTGAGTCGCTGCCGCCGCTGCTGCTGCTGCTCGGGGTCTCACTCTCTCATATCGTCGTCTGTACATGAACGGAAAAAAAAACCCAAATATGCCTGAATGACTCTTAGAACCCAATCACATGGTTTCTCGTTTCCCGGGAAACAAAAATGAAATAATCGCTGATTAAATTTTTTTTTTTTTTTTTTTTTTTTTTACTGTGTGTTACACTCGGACAGCCACGCTCAATATTTTCAGTGTCAAAAGGAAAAAAAAAGTCAGAGTATGATGGGGAAAGTTTTTCACGGTTTTATTTTATTTTTTGTATTTGTATCATTTTGTCGTTTGATGACTAAAGCTTCTAACAAAAACACGCACTTCACCAGGATAAAAAAATGACATTATGACATTAAAATGATTTGTAATGCAGAAATTACATATAGGCTTCGTGAAAAGTATTTTTGTATTATGAGAAATAAATATTGATTCTTTTTTTTTTTAATTACAAAGAAAGGATTTACATGCACTCATAAGATCACCCATACTGGAGATTTACTGATTAAAACCAAATCAGAATCACACACCAAAGTCAGTTGCGCCAAATGTGTGTCAACCTGAAATCGGAATTCATGCATCGCTTCGGTTTAATCTTCGGATCGACAGATGGCCAACAGAGCTTCTAAATGATATCCTTTGAAATTTTTCTGTTGGGGAGAAATTGGAGCACTTAGAAAAAAAAAAAGATCTTAATTTCTAAAAATACATATATATCATCTTCATACTATAAAAAAAGGAATTTGGTATTTTCAATGAATAGTTTGCACTAGAGTTTCATATTCACTTTTGTCAATTTGCCCCCCTTACATCTCATCCGGTCCTTTTAAAACCGGCCCCTCCTCTCTTTGTTTCACCCGATCTGCTTTCTTCAGCCGAACTGCTCCGAGATTATTATTCAACAGTCGGCCCGAGGCTTGGCCAGTTTGTCCATACGGTGTTCACTGTTACCCGAGCGTGTTTTTGTACGCGGTGGCGACTCACCTGCAGGGTTGTGTAGAGAGAAGTGCCGGTCAATTTCAGGAAGGCTACTCTGATACCAAGTAGATCTTCCTCACTGTGGGACACCATGATGCCATGCACGACTGCTGCCTGTAAAAAAAAAAAAAAAATATGATATTTTGACAATTATGGAAGTGAAAGCAGAAGGCAACGCCCAAATTGCCTTGACACGAATTGATCAGTTGGACTGAGGTCGCTTTTAAAGGCTTGGGGAAAGAAGTGCAGAAAAAAATAGTTGGCGAGGGACACTCGACGCTAAACAATTGGAAAGTAAAAAATGGACAAATGAGGAAGTCTCGTACTTGAGACAAAAGAGGCAGATGGAAATTCGATTTTATTTTAAGTCTTTGTGTATAAATAGATGGCTATCTGGTGTACCGTACAAGAGTTTAAATTAGTTTATGGTTATGTCTTTTTTTTTCCCCTCCTCCATGATCTGGCCTGATTCCACAAGTGCAAGCAAGCAGTTGGCACTCGCTCGTGAGAGAAAAGGAGACGACCGGATATCTGCTAGGAGGCATACACTCACTGGCGAGATTCGGCGCGCTATTGCACACACTTGCTGGTGAGAGCGGGGAACTGTTTGAAATGGTCACAATTTGTCCAAAAAGTGTGTCAGTCCTGCGCCATTCAAGAAGGTTCCCACGCTTGAGTTAGCAAACCCCGTTCAAACCTCACTTCCTTCTTCAGAAGACACAATTATTGACAAAAATAAAATAAAATAAAAACATCTTACCTTCATGCCAGTTAATCTCTTGGCAAGGTACACCTCGGGGTTTTGAATGCACTCCACTGTTACGACACAAACAACAAGTGCTCATATACATGATATACCACTAACACATGTCTATAGCAACAAGTACCCTATTTTCCGCACTATAAGGCACACTTAAAAGGGTTCCATGTTCTCAAAAGCAGACGGTGCGCCCGATAATCCGATGTGCCTTATATATGGTGTTACAGTCTCATTAGTTGTCTCCCTGTGATTGTTCCGATGCCATCTAGTTGTGATTATTAGCAGGAGCCAATTGTAACCTAAAATGGTTCTGCCCGGCACTAATTGACGTGCATTCGCCAACACACACTCAAACAAGACAACTACTGGTGAGCAGCCATTTACGAAATGAACATAATACCAAAGGCGTAGTTAACCACTGATGAAATGAAGGAAGAAGGAGCCAAGCAAGACTTCTAAGGATATTTAACCCCTTGTGGATGTGAGCCCACGAGGTCCGTGTGCCTTTTTGTTGAATCAATTATCTTCATAACTTTTGACTTTCATTTATTGTTTTGTAATGCTGTTTGTTACAGCTGCAGCGGTTGTGAAGGCTCCATATAACTAAAGCTGTTTTGTATTGTATTGTATTATTTTTAGCGTAGCACCATCTAGTGGATGCATGGCGGAACCACAGCCACTATCGTAGCTTCTATTCTATGTGTCTTATAATGCTGTGTGCCCTATATATGAAAACAGCTTTAAAATAGCCCACTCACCGAAGGTGCGCCTTATAAGACGAAAGGCCTTATAGTGCAGAAAATACGGTACCTAAAACACTCAAACCCAGATGAATATCCCCGGAGAATCTTTTCTCCAGAGCGGGAATCACCATCTGTCCACTCTCCAGCTCCATTCCCATAAACACTGTCAAATCAGGCACATTTAAGGCACTCGGAAAGCAACCACAAAACAAAACTCAACCGCTGACGTTTTGTACCTCACCTTTGTTAAGATGGTTTGAATCTCGAGAGGTGAGAATATCGATCCAAGGAGCTGCCTGGGCTTTTTTCTCGTCGAGCGATGCGGAGAGAGACTGAAATCACAAAATCATTTCGGTTCGACAGATGAAGACAGACAGGTTGGAATATTCAGTGTAACGCATAAAGCTTAACTTCTTTTCAGTGGAATCGGGAATAGCTTTGCCCTAATTATCGCGTCTTTGGCATGGCTTGTTGTCATTTGTATTAGTATTAAAAAGCTGTTGCGGTAACATTTATTAAAAATAAATAAATAAATAATACCTCAATGTCTTTTTGAACAAAACCAGAGACATCTTCTTTCTAAAGGAGCAGGAGAGAGAACATACAAAACAACACAACTAATTGTAAATACAGTCATTTGCCGACCTAAGTCTTTAAAAGTTCAGATTTGTCATGGTAGTCTTGTTACACAAATGCACCCTGTTCCTCTTTTTATAAATTAAAAAACAAAACAAAACATCAACTTAGCTTGCAATTGTGTTTATGTTCAATAAAGACGAATAAAAGACACGAGGAGGCATATTACATTCATTAGAGCTACGATGAGCTCAGCAAAGTCTCCACTGGTTTCTCCTTTGGCTTCCTTCTCCAGGTCCTTTTTATACACTGGAAAAATAATTGAACCGGCGGCACAATTTTGAGCTGAAAAATATGAAGTCGCTGATTTGATGGCTGCAATCCACAAGCAAAGCAATTTACTTTCTTGATAGGCAGCACTGATGCCCCGAAGCTTCTCGCTTGATCTTGTACACAGAATCTCCAGGAGTGTTTCCTCGTCTGTGCCTAAACCCTGCACACACGTGCACAATTTACTGAGACTAAAGACTGGCAAGGGGGACGACCCCTGCCCCCACCCCCGCCCAAAAAAAACAAAAAAACACACACACACACCGCCATGGCCTGGTGTAATCGATAAGCTTCGTGCTGCAGAGGAGGCATCATCAGTTCCAGCATGAGAGCCTCCAGATCTCCAGATAGAACTCTTTTCATGCCAGCTATCAGTTCCTGTATCAAAGAAATTAAGCATTAAATCAAGAAGTATGACAAGTGATGAGTAAATCTAAACACAAATTCTGAAGGAGTAGCCCAGTTGGAGAGAGACAAGGATCAGAGTCGTTATTTTCAATCAGAGATGCATTGGATTTCGAGAAGTCAGTTATTGAATTAAAAAAAAAAAAAAAAAAAAAGGTCTATTCCATCCGACTCCTGAAATTGACGAGCGGATAATCTTGGCTCTGAGACCGGTTGTAATAATGAATCTTAGACTGTGCTGGGAGGATGTAATAAAAAAAAAAAAAAAAAACATAATGGGACTTAAATTTGAACCTTGCAGTACACCACATGTCATTTTAGCGGTTTGTGACAGAAAAAGGCTCTTTTTGGATATTAAGATAAAAACCTGTCAAGCACATTGGATACTACAAAGGCTTTAAAAAAGGTGACATGTTATGAGAGTTAACTTTTCAATGGCTTGTACACAGTTTAGTTTTGCCCACCTGTCCACCCATCCAATGGAAAGGAAAACAACCAAGACAATCTCTTATTAGCTGCCCAAGCAAGCCATTCTTCCATATCCTACCATTATATAAAATTAGTGGTAACTCAAAAGCTACTATAGAACAACGGAATGCTTCTGAAAGATTATTCTTGTTTCTACAGAACTCTCTGTTTAAACAAAGGTGTGTCAAGCGGACATTTAAATGGTGTTTGCTGAGCAAACAGAAGTTCCGAATGAATGAACACCATCTCTGGTTCGACTTGAGTATTACTGCACCATTGGAAGTATTTTAAACTGCACTTTTGCTTTTCTTTACCTGCTGTGTTGTCTCTTTATATATTTTGGCAATGTCCTGCCTCTGAGCACTGTTGCGATTTGTCAGGATTCTCACAAGAGTGGCTGCATCTGCGGCAATAACACGTAAGGGTTGGAACTTTATTAGGCAAACCGAATGGAATGCACAAGTCTCCCGAAGGATTTGATACAACGCCACACAGTACAATCAAGGATTAACCTTTCTTCTGCACAGCTTCGCGGATCTGTATGACATCTCTTTGCGGATGGAAACCGGAGAAAGGCCGCACAGTTCCAAGGGTGCCCCAACACATTGTCTATATGAGAAAAAAATATATATATTTCGCATTATATTCAAAACGAACCAGAAACAATAAGCAAGACAAACAAGTCGAAATGTTTTGTTTTTTTTAAATCAACATTTTCGAATTCAATAATAGCATGCTAACGTGTGGGAAATTATAATGCGTTTAAACATATCCCACCTGAAGAAACAACTAGCATGTTGGCACTAACTGATAAAAGAAAGGTAAATGTGTACTTACATGCGATTTAAAGTACTGCCGGTCCATCGCGTTGCTTCAAATGCTTGAAAAGAAGCAATGGGAGGCTAATTAGCCGTGGCCTAAGTATTAAAAACGTAACATCAAGGTGACCACCATAGGAAGAAAACAGGTGGATTTTACGACGTACCTCTGATAGAATGCTGTAACCCAGTTTGCTGCAGTGCTGTGGAAACGTGGACTACGTTTTTTTCTTTTCCTTTCTTTTCCTTTTTTTTACAACCTGAAGTAATCAGCCTGTGCTCCACCTCCTGCACACTTCTGGCCGACCATCTTGACACGAAATATACAATTTCTACGGCGACCTACCTGTACGACGCATCACATTGTTTTCAATTATTATTAAGAAAAGCTATTTACAGACTGATTTAGGTTAGAACACGGTCACACCAAAAATTAATTTACTTGTCTGAGGTGAAAAACAACACGGCGCTTTCACTGGCCGACCATCTTGACACGAAATATACAATTTCTACGGCGACCTACCTGTACGACGCATCACATTGTTTTCAATTATTATTAAGAAAAGCGATTTACAGACTGATTTAGGTTAGAACACAATCACACCAAAAATTAATTTACTTGTCTGAGGTGAAAAACAACACGGCGCTTTCAGTGTAAAACATTCTCTTGAAACTGTTTTTTTTTTCCTTGCAGGATTGTTTTTGTCTGCACAACCTGAAAAATAAACCTACACCCCTGAAAGCCTTTTAAAGGCAACTGAAACCATAGAAGCACATCATTCTTGTAGCTTTTTAGCCAGACTCCCCGTTCACCTGCACAGGTAGAAAAGACACCTGACACCTTTGTGTTTATGACAAACAAAGCTGACTTTGGCCAGAATATTTCCCAAGTTCAGTGCTCTCATCTTCAACCTGAGAAATTGTGCGTGAAATACATTTTGAAGTTGATTTCTATTGTCCGATATGTGGCCGTAAACGCTGAAAGAGTTTTGCCATAAAAATACAACATGGAGAACAAAAATGTATGAATGGATCAAGTGCAGGGGTGGGAAGGTCAGCTGAAGTCAATATTTAAAGAACCGCACGAGACACACAATGTTGAATAGAGCAGAAAAATGAGTTTTATGGTAACATTTTCTTTGCTACTCAACTCAATTGTATTTATAAACAGCTAGCAGTACAAAACAACCCAAAAGTAATCATATACCGGTGTGTACATATTCCAGTGGTGTGTGTGTATATATATTTTTTTTATATATATGTTTTTTTTTAAAATGTGTTTTGGAACCCAATGACCACAACTTTTCTTTTCTTCGCTTTGACAGCGTTTAAATTTTATTAGCATTTTAAAAACGCACCCTCCTTTATATATTATGACTTTAGTATCAAAGAACATGCAATTTTTGCAGGTATAGTTAATCTCTTTCTCTCTCTATATATATTGATATCTTGGTACATATTTCTCTGTAGCAGTTTCACACACACAAAAAAAAATAGCAACAGACATACATATCCCACAAACTCGTATACAATACGCTGCATCGAGATGAGGAACACCATAAAACATTTTGACACAATATAAAAATAGCTTTTAAGTATTTTGCATACCGTCCATTCTTTGGCTTTATCTCTCAGCTGTCCATTTTAAGCATTAGTTGAGTGGAG